GAGCTTCCACGGTAAGCAGGCCAGCCAGCCAGGGGTTTATTTTTAAGCCGCCTGGATCCCGGTAAAGCCGGGATGGCGTCTCGGCGTCCCTCTGCCACATACCACCGCACACGTGCGTCTGGTCCGGATCCAGCGGGGAACCCGCCGAGACCTCCAAAGAAATTGGTTTTTTTTGCAGGAGTAGGAGTTTCCTGCAGGGCTCCCTAGGGTGCCTTTCCATGGGGATGGGGGGAGGGAGTTCCAGAAAAGAAAATGAAGAAATGAATGAAGAAATGAATGGATGCATAACATAAACGAACAGGGTGACCAGTTACTGCGTGTTCACTAGAAGCTCTGTTCCGGCCAGGCATGCCCGGACTGTCCTTTAAAGGCGGGAGTCTGAGAAGTGGCTCACCCAGGAGATGGCAGAGGAGAGAGAGACGGCAGAGGCGAGATCAGAACCCAGGCCTCCGGCTCCCAGGCAGCAGCTCTCTGAGCTCCCGGCTTCCCGTGCACGTGTCAGCCTCTGGCCACAGGGTCTGAGTGCTCTGTCAGGGGTTCTGGGTCCCTTGGCTGCACTTTATTTTTTTTTAAAATATGTTCTCTATTGATTTTTAGAGAGAGAGGAAGGGAGAGGGATTGAGAGATAGAAACATCGACGAGAGAGAAACATCATGGATCCGCTGCCTCCTGCATGCCCCGTCCTGGGGCCCGAGCCCGACACCGGGGCATGTGCCCTGACCGGGAATCAAACTGTGACCTCCTGGTCCACTGGTCGATGCTCAACCACTGAGCCACACTGGCCGGGCGCTGGCTGCACCTTTGAAGGCAGACACGCTTTCCTTGAGAAGGAACCAGAGCTGGGAGGTGACCTGGGATGGGCAACAAAGCCAGAGACAGTCCTCACATTGGTCTTTAGAAGAAAATGGAGATAAGATTCATAGAACAAAAAATTCACCATTTTAACCCTTTCAAGGGGTATGAGTCGTGGTTTTGAGTGTAGTCACTGTGTTGGGCAGCCATCACCACTATCTAATGCCAGAACCTTTTCATTCCCCCGAAAGCAACCCCACCATGACCCTCTCACGCCCCTCCCCGCCCCCTATCCAGGGCTCTCCCTGGATTTGCCTGTCCTGGACTCTCCCCACACGTGCGATCATACAGTAGGCGGCTCCTTCCAGCACCTTGGGCTTCTGCCCCAGCTTCAGGCCAGGACTTCTGGAGCTGCACCCTTGGGCAGGCTTACACTGCTCCAGTGGTGACCAGCCCCGCGGCCACCCCCCCTCTCCCCAAGCAGGGGTTCTCTGCAGGCAGGTCAGGACTGGGAGCCCCTCGCCTTGCTGGCCCCTGCCCTGGCTCGGTGGAGCCCGCCTCCACCTGGGAGCAGGTGGGCTTGGCTAGGGGAGATTCCTAATGAGGTGCTGAGGCCCCCCAGGGGCAGCCCAGCCCCCACCCCCTGAGTGAGGATGGCTGGACCCTTCCTGACTTGGGCCTGAGCCTGACCTTCCCAGAGGGAGAGAGTGTGGCTGGACTGTCCTGTGGTCCTTCCTTCCAACCACGGAGGCACAGGTTCTGCTTGTTCCGTCTTGGGCAGTGCCACCAGCACTGGGGGCTCTGCTGGTTTTCTCAGCCCTGGGAGATGCTGTGGCCTCACCCAGAACCTGGGGACCCACCGATGGCCTGGCTGAGCCCACAGCCCCTCCAGCTCCCCTTCCCCCCACAGCCCCTCCCTTTCAGGATCCAGGGCCGCCCCATCACTCCACCCCACTGCAGGGCACCTCCAGGCTTCAGAGACGCAACTGGGTTCGGGTTCCCAACCTCCCTGAGCCTCCGCCTCCCCGTGGGACGGGGATGATCTTCCCTGCTGAGCGGGTGGCTATGGTTGGTGTTTCGCTCAAAGCTGCTGTCACAGCCAGTGGTGGTGCAGAGCCGCCCGGGGTCTGTAGGCAAGGCCTCCGAAGTGGACGGGTCCTCAGGCCAGGACTGGCCGGGGCGGGCTTCTAGGAGGGGGCAGGTGGCACCGGCCTCAAGTGCCGACCCTCCCTGGGGCCTGTCTGGAATGTGGGGCATTGCCTTCTGCTCGGTGTCTGTGGCTGGAACTGCGTATGGGGCCCTCGCCACACCCTTCCTGGGCCTTGAGCTCAGAAGCATCTCGGGGCCCTGGGCGTAGCCTGGTGGGAGGTCTTCCGTGGCCCAGAGGGCCCAGGTGGCTGGGGTCAACTCTGACCTCCCGGCAGGACATTGGCAGGTCTTCTGAAATGCCCTGATGCCCTTCCAATCCTGGGTTACAGACAAAGCACCCCGGTTCCGCAGCCAGGCAACCAGGCTGCTGGTGTGTACAGCTTTCTGGGGCCACGTCATCAGTTTCCTGGTCTGTGCAATGGGTATCGCATGCCTCACCCCAGGGCATGTTGGGAAACTCACGGGCGGTGAACACTGTGGCTCCTGGCTCGCAGCGGGTTTGCAGGGCCGGGTGGCTCTCTGGATGGAGGATCCCGCGTGGGGCCGTGGCGTGGGCAGACACCCCCCCTGCAGACCTGTGTGGGGCGGTGAGCAGCGTCGGGCGGCCTCCCTGGCAGAGCCGGCCCAGGGCCCAGCTGCCTGTCGTGTTGTTGACGTTTTCTTTTTGTCTCTCTGATGCTTCCCCGCTCAATTATTCACCCAGGGAATTTGGGCTTCTTCACTTGTGGTTTTGGCAAGGGCTTCACACAAATGTTTTGCCCTGGTGGTCTCTTAGCCATTTAAGATAAACGGCCAAATCAAATGCAGGCCGTGCCGGGGAGCTGAGGCGAGGCAGGCCCCTGGCCCTGCGTCGTGGCCATCGGACCAGGGAGGCGTGAGGAGGGGTGCTGGGCAGTGCCAGGGTTCTCTCGGGGGTGTTCAAAGCCTCTGGAAGGCCTGGGGGCGCGGGTCACTGAGGAGGGCCTGGGGCTGCAGGGCGGCTCCAGCTGGCCATTCGCCAGGCTGGAGGGTAACCGGCGCCCGGCGCTCCGAGCTGGACTGGGGGTGGCCGGGCCTGTCCAGACAGCCGTCCGATAGAGCAAGCGATGGCCTGGAGTTTCCCAGGGTGGGTGGTGGCCCAGATTTTTGGGAACAGATGCCCAATGGGGCCTGCTCCCCAGCACTTCAGAAGAACCCCCCCTCCCATAGGGGGACCTACCTGGGAGTGGGCACCCTGACAGCTCCCTGCATTAGGCCCTCGGGGAGGGGTGCCTGGCCCTAAGACAGCCCAACCTGGCAGCTGTGGAACTAGCACCCCCAAGCCCCAGCCTGTGCCCCGGTGGTCTTCCCTGTGGGGCCTGGCACCCTGGGAGGGCGGCCTGCAGCCCTCTGCCCCGGGCCCCTGTTCTGCACCCCGAGCCCCGTGTACAGTCCAGGGCCCGACTGACCAGTCTTTTCTATTGTTTTTTCTCCAGGGCCGTGCAGGCCTGCCCAGCTGCCCGCGATGGCCCCCATAGCTGCCTCCTCCTCCCACCCTCACACATCCGTGATCACCTCACCACTGCGCGCCCTGGGCGCTCTGCCGCCCTGCTTCCCCCTGCCGTGCTGCAGCGCGCGCCCGGTCTCGGGTGACGGGACTCAGGGTGAGGGGCACACGGAGGCTCCTTTTGGATTTCT